TCATTTCTTCAGTTACCATATACTGCCTTCTAACCACAAGTACTCAAATAAAATGACTCTTAATGAGAAAGGAGCTAAGAATTTAATGAATATGATAGCACAGCAAATCATAATTTTGCACTTGAGACAGAAGATATGCTATAGACTGCAGTTAGTTAGCGAATGAAGATTTTTCAATTTTCAGTTACAAATAGATTTATATTTTTAAAATCTAAGAAAAATTGGATGGAAACCCACTGACAGATTCATTTAATTTGTTATTGGATAGGGAATGAAGACTTCCAATTTTCAGTTACAGATGGATTAACATTTTTTACATCACAGAATGCATGGAGGGGAGTGTACGAAAAGATAATCAGTATGAAGTCTCTTAAAATTGAATGGAAACCCACTGAGCAGAATCATTTAATTCGTTATTGGTACAGCAACTATCGGCGCCTTCCATGGCATCATGTCTATGATTCTAAAACTCAACATCATGTCATTCATTTTGGCCTTCAGTTATCATCATATATCACTCAAATGAGATGATCGAAAGGTATTTAAAATCTAACAAACCTGAAAACAAAGGATTTTCAGCACCACAAGTGTACTTTGAGTTCATTAGTTGAAGATCTACTTCATTAGACAGCTCAGATTGTTGAAATTCTTTGAGATGTGATATCTGAAATGGTGAAGGCACTGAAGAAAATACACCACCATTGATTGAGGAGTCCGGACCATGGACATTTCCTGGTTCCCCAACTAGATCAACTACAAATTCCCTGCTCAGAGATATATGTGAGTTTTAGAATAACTCGTTTACAATGAGATCCATAAACATAATTTAAGCGACCAATTACAGATTCTGATTGCAAGTTACTCGCTCTCAATGTTACATACATTCCTGTCCTAAGTTCATTGGATAACAAGTTAATTAATTTCTAAGCAAGTAATAAGGTTCTATTTTACATTTCGGCATCTTAAGGCCCACGGTTGTTCAAGTAATAAAGGTGAGAAGACTAAAACACGAAGACATAGCATATCAATGGAAGAGCTAGTAACATATTTCTTATTGCAGCAGCGCCTGACATGCAAACATCAAGCTACATAAACATGTAAAGTTTGTAAACAATATTAAAAAAGTGTCTGCAGCCTTTACAAGTTTATTACTTTCGTTAATATGAACTAACAGTTATCATAACAAAAATAATATATCAGAAATGGCAATAATAAGGTACAATGTGACAATTTTGAGCAAACAAGAAATAAACAATCCTGGTTAACCTCAAGTTAAATCTGTCTTTTTCGTACTTTGGCAAAGACAAGAAAAATGATGCCACAAAATAATAGATTACCATACCTTGGAAGCTTTCGTTCATCCTCGATTTTGACAAGACATGAAGATCTATGATCCGAAACACAATATTTGCAACCTCGAGCAATCCGGCATGGCAGACCAACGTAGTCTGCTAGTTTCTGGATGAAAAAAGTCCCACATTAATACTGCTATCCTGAGTCCTATTAACTTGCCTTGAGTAGAGCGTCAACAAACCAAAGCGTCGAGAAAGCACCCATATGATTCACCGCTTAAGTACATTCAATGAAAATTCCCCCCCACCCCCACACCAAAATAAAAATCCCTACAATGGAAAAGGCCCAAAAGTGAAAAGGGAAAAAGGAGAGAACAAGAAGCAGTTTTGTCGCAAGAAATTATTAATTTCAGCCCGAGACAAAGGAAAAGAGAAATTCAATTAATAAAGAATTCATCATACAAGAGAAAAGACATTGCTTGTTTCCTTTAAGCATAATTAAATTTTTTTTAGAAGAAGTCATGATGATAAATAAAATATATAGAATAATGAAGTTAAGGATTTCAAGTTACTCACAAAAGGAAAAGAGAGGTCGAAAGACAGAACTGCCTAGTGCAAGAATTTTTTCGTGTTCCTTGAGAACAAGGCCAAGCAGAAGAAACTAAGTTTTAGAACTTATACAGGTATGCAAAGTATTAAACAATTTTCAATTTCTCTGCACATGTAAAACAAAAGTCCTTCAGTATATATGGTGTTAAAACCCGGACTGCAATCAGTTACCAGAAATTATGTGCTTAGAAGTAAAGAAGACAAAGGATCACAGAACTAATGATAAGTAAACCCAACAAATATACAGGAGCTCAATTTGAAACTCAAAAAAAAAATGAAAATGGGCATATTCATATGATAAATGCAGCAACCTTAAATGCACTTGCACACATAATGACCTTGGAATACCACAGACGTAGCTTAAAAGAGTAGGTTAAGAAAATCAGACAGGCTAATAAATGCAAGGAAAGGACTATTTGTCACAGCAGCTAGGCTGTAGGTAATCACCTTGAACAAAATAGCACGGTGCCGGCAAAGTCCCATGGACAGGCTACCAATTGGGAGTACAATGCATTTTTGGAAATCCTTTAATCTCTGGCTGATCGATTTCCATCCAACGTTAAGGTCACCTTGCTCCACCGGAAAAGAGCCCCTTAAATTTCACAAACTTAATATCTTATGAAAAAGTGTATGGCATCCTAAATGATAAGCTAAGAAAATCAATACTTACCCCATGCAGACAGCGACAAGTTTGCCAAGCTTCTCTGCCAAAACTAATGTGTTTTCAGCAGAAAAATATAGCTCCTGAGCTTTATCCTCAAGCTCCCTAAGTTGTGAATCCCCACTACGATCAACAAGAACCACCTCCATCGTGGAGTCATTAGGTACAATTGTTCTCAACGCCATTAGAGGTGGCATTCTTCTACCTTCATACAAGTCATTGCACATCAACCACATATATGGATTCATTCCCAAAATGTTATAGAACCCATCTGATATCTTGTCAGTGTAAGACAAGCAACCACTGACCTGAAAAGTATTTATTTCCCCAGGAGAAATTCAGAAACTGACTTGAAATATACTTTAACTAGAACTGCATAAATTAAACTCAAGGCAAACCTCTTACATCATATCACTTATGTCCTATTAAATTTCATTTACAATTAGCGAATGGCAGTAGATTTACTGCTGAAGCAATAAATTAAATTGTTCTGGGAGGAAGATAATACCCAGAGTCCGTAGGAGGCAGTTTCTGCATCAACAGGTCCACTAACAAGATTCTCAGCACTTTTAGACTCCTGCATTAACATAGGCTCAGCAAGAAGCGTAGCCTGCTCAGTAAGCCTTCTAGCAAGACTGAGCTGCAAGTAATAGCCATCTTTATACCTTTGTGCTAATCCATTGCCAACGTTTTCAACTCCTCTTGCCTCCTCTACTTCGTTTGTTGTGGTTGGATCCTTCAGTATCCCAGTAGTAATACTCGACCAATTCCCATCCAAAGTAGTTTCAGAAAACAAACTTTCCGCATAGCTCGTGCTCACTCCACTAGAAAATCTCTGCAGTGACTGCTGCCTCTCAAATCCCCTCTCCTTCCCTTGATGATCAGCACCAATACTATAATTGCTCCCGTTATTAGACAACTGCTGCAGCGAAACCTTTCGTTCCAATTCCAGGCGTCTGTCTTTACCCACCTGGCATTCACACTCAACCACCTCATCGGGAACCACCACAGCGGACGGTGGCAGTGGTAGAAATGGCTCACGTTCTTCCTCTTCAATGAAGTCCCCAACATCTGATCTGATCTTCACAGGATTTACTTGATTGAATGATTTGTCTTTCTTTTTATTATCGGTCAGCCTGTTCAAAAAGGCAGCCAACTGTTTTTTGTGAATCCTGTCAACCGTGAATCCGTGAGAAACATCACTAGTATTATCTTTACAATAATGTTTAGACTCTGAATCTCGATTAATTTCTTTTCCTGTGAGGTTGAGAGCGACCTCTTCACGATCACATGTCTCAAACTTTCCATCGCTTTTCTTCTCGTGATCCAATGCAAACTTTGAGGGGTCAAAGTTGCGGTCTGGAAATTGCCTCGGAAAAATGTAAGTAGTTCGATGCGGCATTTTTAACTCAAGCCTCCCGTGAACGTCTACAGCTGCAACAAGAAAAAACGTAAAGTTTTCAGAAATCTCAAACCGTACGTTTACCTTTTCTCTTTCCAATTTACATTTTTATGATTTCATCTTTCTCACTCAACATCTCTGTCAACCTTCAAGAACTAAAAAATCCGCAAAATCACGCAGGATACGAAATTGAACGTACAATTTCTGCAACACAAACGAAATTAAGCAATAACGTACAATATATTTCACCTAATATTTACTGATGGAATGGAATTCGCGTTTAGTATCTCAACACCGAGATCAAAATCTGATGAAAAACTAAAGTATTCAGCAGGATGAAAAGATTAATGAAATCCAGAATGAAATATTCAAACCGTCAAAAATTGCTAATTTAAAACTGAAAAAAGAGTACTCGTTTGCAGATCTAAGAGAGAAAAACAATAAACAAATACATGTTTGGAACAAATAGATAAAGAATCTACCTGTGAAAATATATATTGTTGTTTCGCAGAAAAGCTGAAGCAGTCAGTGGTGGAGATGAAGTGTTAAAGAAGTTTAGGTGAGTATTTTAAGCTTAAGTTGGAGGGGAACACGGAAGGTGGTAACATTGAAAATCATGTATATACATATATATGAAATGCACTGAACTACCCCTGGGCATAGTCTAGTGGTGCAAAGGATAAGAGTGAGGTAATCTCACGCCTTGCTGGCAGCCGCAGTATGGGGGTTCGATTCCTGAAACATGGAATTGGATTTCTTATAGGCGCAGTGTACAGACAGCTCTTATTCCCTGACCTGTTAGGGCACATTACTTGATTTACCTCCCGCACAAAACTCTAGGAGAAGGACAATGGGGCTCTCAAGGTTGGGATTCAACCTTTTTTCTTTTTTATGAAATGCACTGAATCTAACTAGCTACTTACATGCGCTGGGTGTATATGCCACCGCTCTTCTCTATTGCCTACGTCAGCTCTAACCAAGCCCTCCAGCTTGACACGTAGTGAGTGCGCACGCTAGCCTGGAGCTGATGTGGATTGCCAAAATTGATTTTATTTTTATCATTTTAATTATAATAACGACAAACATTGAATTATACCCTTGGCTTATGAGAAAAATATATTTTGAAATAGTAATTTTTTAAGAAAGTGTGGTTAAAAAGTAAGAAAATTTTTTGAGTTTGCGCGTGTGATTGAAAATGAATTTTTAAAAAGTGAAAATTACATAAACTAATACATTTAAAGATTCTATTTCATAAATTATATACTAAGCTCATGTTTGATTCTCATTTTTGGGATAAAATGCATTGTGGAATAGTGATTTTTTGGAGAATGTGTTTTTAAAAAGTAAAGATGTGTTTTTAAAAAGTAAAGAAATTTTTTTAAAATAAGTGTATAATTATTTTATAGAAAAATGTGTGGTTGAAAATGAATTAAAAAAATGAATTCTTGGAAAAATGGGGTCAAACAAGGGCTAAGTTTACTCTTTCAAAAATCAGATTTTTTTATTAATTAATATATTTAAAAATTAATTAATTAATTTACCTACACCATTTCAAACCCTAGATTATTCACCCTCAATTCTCTCTCTCTCTCTCAAAACGACGTCGTCGGAGACGGGTCTATTTGTCAGCACGACGTTAGTAACAGCTAGAGCTTCAAAATGAGCTTCCTTGCAGTGGTGCGATATAATATGAGGATTTGGTTATGCCAACGGTGTACTTGAAGCGATCCATCCGATTAAAAATTGAACCTAAACTAATCCGGCTAGATTTGACCCAAACATTTCTGATTTGTTAGGTGTGGGCAGATATGGGTTTGGTGGAGGCTCTTGGTGATTTGTTTGTTGATTTGGAGAGGTGATGGTGAAAATATAGTGGCCAGAAATGTTTCAATGGGATAATCTGGCCGACAGAAGACAGGACACATGGACGGTGGTTTTAAAGGTTTTTTTGGTGGTTTGGAAATTGAGGTGGTAGTGGTGCGACGGCTGCAGTGGTAATGGTGATGGTAGTGTTGGCCGTGTGGTGATGTTGGTAGTTACAGTTACAATGACCGTGTGGTATGAGTTTCTGACCAACTATTTGGGGGGCCGGTGAGGTGGTGGTGGTGATGTTAGCTGTGGTGCACGGTTGGGAAGATGATCGTGGGTGGATGGACGATTTTTTTTAAAACTTTTTTGAGTGACGATTTTATTGATGTTTGGACGGCGATTGTGATTTTGCGAGGTCTGGTGGTGGTAATGGTAATGGTGGTTGTCGCGATCGTGGGTGTGATAAGATGGAGTTGGATGCTTGCGACAATTATTTGATCGATTGTGACTAATAATTGATTAATTTGTAATATGTGACCTAAAAATTGAGACTGTGACTCACGAGTGATCAAATTGTGAACGAAAAATTATTCGTGACTTAATAATTTAATAATTTGCAATGAATAAATGAGTTATGACCAATAAAAATTTTGATTATGTGACCGATGAATAATCCGTGACCTATAAAATTTATGATTCGTGGTCGAAAAATAATATATCACCAATAAAATTTTTGATTTGTGAACAAGAAATAAATTGTGACTAATAATTTGATATGTTGTGACTAAAAATTAATCTATGACTAATTAATTTTTTAATTTGTGATCGATGAACAAAAATGTGACCTGCAAATTTTTTGAATTGTGATCGTAAAATAATTTGTGATATAAAAATTTTGATTTGTGACAAAAAAATAATAAACGACTAATTAAATTGTTAATCCATGATCAAATTGTATAGATTTATGCCTAAATATATTTAATTCATTCATTCATTAATTTGTAAATAAATTTTATAAAAATATGATTTTTGAAGTTTGAAACTTATATTATTGATTTTGAAATGTGTGATACTTAAACTCTTATAAAATTTTCCCAAAAACTGTATTTTTGATTTAATAGAGCCTGTCAATGATAAGTATTTAATCTGACCTCGTTAAACTCATGTTTGTTCAGCTAAAAAATGTAATTAAAATTTAAATCAAAATCTATCATTAATTTTAATTACATATATTATGGATTCATAATTTTTATCAACTTTTAAATCACATATTTTATTAATTATTATCAAAATTTATTAAAATTTTGATTTTAGTTAAAAAAAACTCGTATAATTTTATTTTTTTTAATAAAAAAACTGTGTTGAGGTTTTAATTGAAACGAAGCGTTCAACTATTACAA